TAATTTTCTATTTGACTTAATAAGGTTCTCAAAAAAAGCCATCGGTCGATCATTTCAAAGTAGTAGCAGTTTTGCAGAAAAAAAACAACGATTTTAGAATTCAATTACATTTAATACATACATTTTATATTCAATATGTATATGTCTAAGAGGAATATTTGCAATATATGGTACGATATGGTAATTCGTTGAATTGAAATTTCACAGAAACAAAGTTTTATTTCTTCAGTATAAAGTGGAATAAATTTGACACTTATTGTGGGTTTAACTTATTCAGTGAAAAATAGTGGCCAAAGTTAAGAAACATGACATTTTTTGGCCATTTTCCATGAAGACAATCTTTTTCTTCATGGACATTTTCCATAACTTCTGATTTTATCAGTATATTTTTAAGGGAAGTTATATGGGGTGTTTGTAAATAAGTGCGAAATATTTTAGGGGGTAATTTTAATTTTTTATTTATTTTTATTAATTATTTCAAAGAGTTTTAAAGATATTGACTAGAAATCTGAAAAACGCTTTGGAGGGATAAATGTGCATTTTTTGGGGTGATCCGAATTTTTCTACTTGCATGTTTCAATAAAAGATTAACAAGACCTACAGTAAAATATGTTTTATTTTTTTACTCAAAAACGGTTTATCGTATAAAAAAAATTGAAGAGACCAATTTCATTCAAAACTGATGTCGAAAACGGGAAAAAATCAGTGGTGTACAATTTTTTTTATTAAAAAAGGTTGTGGCATTCTCACACGAACGCCACTGGTGCAACAGCCCGTACATAAATGGTAATATCGATATTTTTGAATAGTGACAATAGTAGATAACAATATTTTTAAAAAATGTGAATGTGTGTGTATTTACCTTCCTCAGAGCTAATGAATTAAGCATGGTATTTTAATCGCGCTGCTGATGGTAGTTAAAAACGGTTAATATTTATATTATTTTAATTCCAGTCGGAAACTTCTATTCATAAATATTTGAATGGCGTCTGGAAATTAAAAGTTTTACAAGGAATTTAAATTGGCACATTATATTATACTAGCTTGTTATCATGTCATGTATATAAAACAGAATATAATTGATACGTAGATTGTATACAGGGTGTTTGTAAATAAGTGCGAAATATTCTAGGGGGTGGTTACCGAAGTTATTTTGTGAAAAAAAGTTCATATAAATGTGTAACTTTCAATTTTTTATTTATTTTTATTAATTATATCAAAGACTTTTAAAGATATTGACTCGAAATTTTATGGTTGTATTCTATTTAGAAATATTGACAGCAACCTACTAGATAATGTATCAATAGAAATTAAAAAATACACAATTTATAATAAAATATGTTTTATTTTTTTACTCAAAAACGGTGCATCCTACGAAAAAAATTGAATAGGGCAATTTCATTCAAAATTGATGGTGGATTTCTAAAAAAAATATCAAAATGGGAAAAAGTCAGTGGCGCACCATTTTTTTATTAAAAAATTTGTGGCATTCTCGCACGAACGCCACTAGTGCAAGTAGAAATATTCGGATCACCGCAGAAAATGCACATTTATCCGCCCAAAGCGTTTTTTCAAATTTCGAGACAATATCTTTAAAACTCTGAAATAATAAAAGTAAATAAAAAATTAAAATTTAAATACTCTGTATCTCGGAAACGAAGCATATTTCAACCTACGTTTATATGAACTTTTTTCACAAAATAACTTAGGCAACCGCACCCTAAAATATGTCGCACTTATTTATAAACACCCTGTATACAGAGTTGCATATAGTAAATAGGTAGTATGTTGGCAATACTATAGTAGTAATTACGTTTGACCCCAAGAAATTTTGAGAATTTATTAATGCCAAGGAAAGTTATTCTTTTATTCTGCCTGTTTTGATGACTTAAAAATATAAAATAAGCACAGAAATCCAAAAAGTGTTACCAATATTTTTTTCATTTTCAATTTAATAGCATTTATAATTTCCTTTTACTTTTTTATTTAAAAAACGGAAAAGAAATTTTAAATAAATGACTTCTTCAAAAAATCGGTTAAGGGGTTGTTTTATGAATTTACTTTTTTTTTAACCATAAATATATCCCGCTAAAGAATGAGATAATTATTTACTATTACACAATGACAAGAGATAACTTCATCAGATAAGGATTTTAGGAACATTTTTAAACTAGGTTTGATTTACTTTAATTCATTTTAAGGTAAAGTAAAAATAACAAGATAATGTTTCTAAACCCTTTTATTTTCGTTCTTAAAATTCTAATCAAATTCAACAAAATTTTCATCATCAGTTAAAAAAAACAGAAAGTATGCTTAGGCAAAAATAAATTTATAAATTCCACTCTTTATTTAAAAATTTCGTTATGGCAGAAATGACCAATTAAATAAAATAGTACCTAATAAAAATGTGGCAAATAGACAATTACAAACAATGACATAATAAATTGCATGAAACTTGTTAGTGAAGTTTCAGTTCTTTGGACATTTTTTAAATAATACCTACATAAAAACACGCTAACAGCTATCTGGGACTGCCAAATATTAGAAATACGTGTCGTGTCGTCATTATTTAAGCAAGTTGTATGTTTCTGGTGCACATGGAGAATAATAGGGGTTTATGAAAATTCACTTCAGTGCTCAAGTTACTACCTCTGCTTTATTTGTATGGTTTTAGATGAAGAGATTTTTTTTCGTAAAAACCAGATATTATATACTCTGTATGGATATTTACTTCATCCTCTTCGTATCCGTTTGGTTATTACATTACACAAAAGTTGCCCGCATATAAATTCTGGGATCCTGAAGATTGTAATCTTAAAAATTCCTGCATATTTAAAACGAAAAAATTTCAACAGGTCTGATTAATTCCATTATTTATTTCAATTTTGAAAGAATGAATATAAATGAAATTATTAAATTTGACATGTAGTAATAAATATCCCAAAATTAATTGTCAAAAAAATCCAAATTGCTCGACAATTTAATTTAAAATCTAGGAAAGAAATGAGAATATAAATGTATAAAATTAAGTTTATTGTTATAATCGATCGAGATGTTTGTCATTGGAAGCAAGTTTACAATTTTAATTTGGATTTTTCAGCAGTTGTTACAATATACAGAGAATATACGAGGCCTGTCCAGAAAATAACAGAACTTTATTATACATTATTGGTCCCTAATTGCTTAAACACATTGTGTTTAAGCAATTAGGGATTAGGCAATAACTAAGTGAGTTATCAGCAATCCAGGAACATGTGGTTCAATAAGTTCCATTATTTTTTAACATATTTCGTATATGAGGAATATTATTCCATTTTCAANTAAATTCTGGGATCCTGAAGATTGTAATCTTAAAAATTCCTGCATATTTAAAACGAAAAAATTTCGTCAGGTCTGATTAATTCCATTATTTATTTCAATTTTGAAAGAATGAATATAAATGAAATTATTAAATTTGACATGTAGTAATAAATATCCCAAAATTAATTGTCAAAAAAATCCAAATTGCTCGACAATTTAATTTAAAATCTAGGAAAGAAATGAGAATATAAATGTATAAAATTAAGTTTATTGTTATAATCGATCGAGATGTTTGTCATTGGAAGCAAGTTTACAATTTTAATTTGGATTTTTCAGCAGTTGTTACAATATACAGAGAATATACGAGGCCTGTCCAGAAAATAACAGAACTTTATTATACATTATTGGTCCCTAATTGCTTAAACACATTGTGTTTAAGCAATTAGGGATTAGGCAATAACTAAGTGAGTTATCAGCAATCCAGGAACATGTGGTTCAATAAGTTCCATTATTTTTTAACATATTTCGTATATGAGGAATATTATTCCACTTTCAAGTTCAAGAATATTTTGTAACTATAAATGAATCTGTTTTTTTTTTTTTCAACAAAAATCTATACCTCTAATTATTATCTCCGGATATTTAATTGTCAAACATTTGAATAAACAGGTTAATAATATCTTAGTAAACTTTAACATAATGAACTCCTACATATTGAATAATCATCTAGAATTAACTCGCTAAGATATTCAGATTTAATAAAAGTGAAAGCACCAGCTTGTAGGATGGACTGTTCATATGATTAAGTATCAAAACTTTCGAATTGATATAATATGCACTTTTAACGAAAAACATACCTGTTACTTAAAAATGTATGCATATTAGAATAACAAAAAAAATCGTTATAAAACGTTTCTATTTAAACATTCTTAATACATAAAAAAAATTGTGTAATCACTAATAGATTGCTTACAACACTAATTAATTTGTTTAAAATCTAGGCACGATACATCAAGTCTATAATTAAGAAATAAGTTTATATTAAATAGAAAAGTTAATTCGAATTTAGTCTCACTATCAGTATCGTTACCAGCACTGGAAAAAATTTTTTGTAATTGTACTTGTAAAAGCTTTAACACTGAACTTACTTGATTTGCACCTTGAATAGAAGTATCACTTTATATGTATTTTTCTATTTGAGTGTCCATTGTAATATGCTCACAGAATTTTCTAAAATACCTGTCTTTTCTCAAGAGAAGAACTCTGGACCTCAGACTTATTTCTATAAAATCGTACGAGACTCGTATCTAAATGAATGTTACAAATATTGTTACATACATACTTAAGGTTGGCGTTTTCCAGATAAGAAATCGCACTTTTAGTAAAACAATGATAGAACATCATCAATTTGTTCACTTTTTTCAATGTGTGTTAATAATACCCTCTGTTATATTCGTAATATGAATGTATGAACTTTTGACAGTTTCAACATGTAACAAGCAATAATTTTCAGCTACTCACAAAATTTTGCTAGAAATAAGATTTAGTACACTAGCATTTAGAGTGGGTGCTGCTTAGGCCTTAGCCCTGTATTTCCTTTGTTTTGACAAAACTCTGAATAGGTCATAGTGCGTCATTCTAAACACCCTATATTTACTCCCTAAAACAATAAACATTTCTAAACTCAATTTTTTTTTCAGTTCCTGAATATGAAGTAGTCCCGATACAGCACGTGCGGAAAAGAAGTATACAGGACTACAGCGAAAACATGATAGAGCTCGACGAGATGCTCAAAACATCGAAGAAGCCATACGAAAGCAAGGTACCAGACACCAGTAAGAGCAGTTTAAGGTTAAAAGCGTTCGGACAACCGTTCAACTTGAGCCTCGCGCCAACGGAGGGCTTGTTGAAGAAAGGGAAATTAAAAATATGGACAATAGAACCCAATGCCACGGCCCAACATGGCGTCGAGTACGTAGAACTGCCCGAGGTATGTACCGGTCATTAATTATGTTGACATTTGAATAATGCCTTTTATTTAGGTATAGTGTTATATCGAACTACATTGCACGATATTATATGAAATACAGGCCGTCCGAAAAAGAATGTTGCATTGGTAATTAAACTACCAGAAAAAGTTTTTGGGGTTTAAAGTTCAATGTTCAATTTTATGTGTGATAATTTTACAGTTTTTTTTACAATAAACAAATGCAAACATTTAAATTATACAAAAAGGTATATCTGTTAAATTTTAGAAAAATGCTCATGTTAGAAGATATTTTTAAAAAACTGTAATAGTGTTTATTACCCATGATTTACTAAAAGTTATTCGCTCCATCAATGGGCTCATTCAGCAATTTTTTTTTATTTGTTTAACGGAAAGATATTGCAATTTTAAGGTTCTCTGCAAAAAATTAGTATTTTATATCGCCTACAAGTCATCCAAAAAACATAAACTGGCGCGATGAGTATCCGCTGAACCGGCGGATGTGACGTCACCGCATGGGAAACCGATACCGTATGCTTGCGTGTGTTGTCAGTCATTCGGATAGCCGAGCTTTAGTTGCCTGTTAAGTTTAGATTGAGTATGTTAAGATGCCGGATTTTGTTAGCAATATGGAAGACTCAGAACAGAAAAAAATTACAAATATTGTATTGCTCCCAATGTGAGAGCACTAGAGTGAAGACACCTAAAAAAATAATAATAATATCTCCGTAATTCTGTCGTGCGGATTTAAAATCAATAGCCTGTTAGTCTTTATTATGATTTGTTTTTTTTTAATATCTTTTATTTGAAAAATGACTTATTTTGAAAGCTACAAAACTACCCTGCGTAATATAGGAATGTCATAAACACGTTTGTATCCTCTAGAAACAGTACACGTGTGTTAGTTAGTGTTTTTCCATTGTTGATTTTTTTGTGAATATTATATAAATACGTATATTTATATAAAATACATAATAAATATGATATTATTAATATATTTATAAGATATTACGTAGATTTTATGTACTTCCGTGAGAATAAAAATAGTAGTGTATTTGATTAGGTAAATCTTTGAAACTTGTGACAGAAACGGTTTCGTCCAATTAAACGCAAAATATCCCCACCCACACATTTACCTTTTAAAGATTCTGCAAATGTAATTCTCTCATCCAGTGAGGATTTTCATTAGTCCATCCAGTAGCGACAGTTTTGACGATTAACATGGCCGTGAAGAGACCAGAAAGCAAAACATTTTCTAGTTGGATACCATTGTTATCTAACCTTTGCATCATTATTGTTAAAAAAAAATGGTTTCATCGATCAGAATCGTCCTCATTAAGCTCCTTAGTCAGTTTATAGGGATGCATTTTATTTTCTTTTCATTATTTTCATTTTAAGGAATATGTTGAAGCTGTTTGTCGACTTGAACTATG